AAACCTTTCCTGGCTCTTCCCCTTTCCACAAGCCAGCTCCAATGGCTCCTAAACCACATGGTCAGGTACAGTCACAACAACAACTTCAGTCCTGGTACCAAATTATGTCTTAGTTACTTTTCTCATTGTTGAGAGAAAATACACAACATTCACAAGTTAAGGGAGTAAAGATCTGCTTAGCTCACAGTTTGTAGAGGTTTCAGTCCATAATTGGATGGCTCCAAGGCAGGGTGGCACATGCAGAGGGTTAACAGTTCATGGTGGACAGAAGACAGCAAAAGCAACAAGGGACCTTAAAATTGCCTTTCTGCCACTTTTATCTTATCCAGACTACTTAGGGTGAGTAGCACCCATGCCCTTAATCCTACTGCCTGTGAGCCTAGCATTGCACTGTGAGTCAGTTCCGGCAACACATACCCCAGATCCATCCATCTCTGAAAAGCTCCACCTATGACTGCATGAGGGTTTTGGGGGACATCTAGACACAAGCCATAACAAGAATTCATTTTGATTTCCTTAACATCATGGGTTTAAAGTCTGTACAAGGGATTCCTTTCCCTGTGTTTATCTATACACAATACATCTCTCTTCCTGCAAAAACTATTTGCTTTGCCCCAAGCTCAGCATGATGATATTAATAAGATTGGGAGCAAATTTGTGATAGTAAAGAGGAATAGTTGACAATTCAACAACTAAGTGTGAGTTTTGCGGTGACATCTGTGGTTCAGATCCTAGCTTTGTCGTCTTGCTGGTTGATGTTTGGCGCAAGTTGCTTAACCTGTCTAAGCTACTATCTGAAAATGAGAATAATAATCTTTACCTCATGGATCTTGTAAAATGAAATAAATGAATGCAGTAGAAGTGCTGAATACAAAACTCAGGTTTTATGAGTTGCTCCTTCTGTGGCTATGCATTTTGAAGGCTGAGAGGCTTTTAGAGTAGGAAACGGTACCCCAGACCCCTTTTCCACTGCTTCTTGATTTTTTTTTTGTGCCTTTCTCTGTGACTGTTTTCTTAGGGTATGATCTAAATCATTTTTTTCGTATTCCTTGTTCTGCTTTTAAGAGCATTTGATTCAATGCCTAGTCCTTTTCATAGGGAAGCTGTTTGTTTTTAGGTCTTCTACTAGTGTCCCTGACACTCTTCATATTTTTACATCCCATCCCATAATCTCTCAGCACCTGCCTTTACCTATTTTGGACTCTGGACTTTTTCTTTCCCCGGCCACTGGGATCCAATTTTCTGTGTTTCGATTATCCATCAATATAGTTCCATACTCGAATTATACTGGACAGATGATGCCATGTGTACCTTTACCTCCTTGTGACCCACTGGCTTTGGACACAACATCTGGGGAAACAAATCCTATTTTCCTATGCTAGATCCAGACTCATGCCTGGCCTTCTTTTAGCCTAATACTCTATGTGTGAAGCTTCATGTTCTTTCCATGTTCATTTTTTCCTGAATAAGAGGCCTGATCCTTGATTTCCCGTCATTGATTTGGAGTCTACACCTTGAGATAGAATTTATCTCCAGAGGCCTTCCTCTGTGTGTACTTTGGTCAAGTTGCACACTTAGAAGTTACTGCATCCTATTTGCCTTTTTCATGGAATTGTGCAATCTCTGAAATAACAGTTATTCTTAATATCTCTGTGATTCCAGCATTGTGTTCATGCTGTGCAAGTTAAAAGACCTTTAATTAATGGTTATCAAAATTCATTTAGAGATTGCCACCTCCAAGAAATGTTAAGGTCAACCTGCAGCACTCGGGAGGAGTAAGGGCACTTGGCTAACAGAGAGCAGCAGAGACCTGGGAGCAATTTGAGAGATAGGATTTTAGCCTCAAGTTATCTGGGGAAGGTTCTATGCTCAGTTGATAGAGTGAGCAATGTGGCCTCTGTCTTGGTGGGGGGGGTCTGGCTATCTTTGTAGGACCAAAATCTATGTGTTCATAGCTTTCCTCCTCCTTTGATATGTGGAAGATGTCCATATTTTCTGTTCAGTGTCCTGTTTTCTCTCTTCCTAAAGGGGTGATACTTTGGCTAATTGAGTGAGAAGTTAAGTTCATCCATAGAATTTGGAAACCTGGGGGAAGGAAGTAATCACAAAGATCTGTGTGGAGAAAGAACAATGGTCATTTTTTCAGAGAGCACTTTGTATCAGCCAAAAGTTAAAAAGAAATTGGCGAAGGAAAGGAAGAGGCTCCTTTGATGTTCTTTAGGAAAATTAAATAAAGACTGGATTTAGGAATGGACTTTCTCTGTCTTTTTTATTGCTCTGTCCCTTACATCCAGCACAGTGTTTGACATATGGGAAGCTCTCAGTTAAATATGTATTAAATTCATTCCTTATACAATATTTGTGACTATTAGAATTATAGCATTACACAATTATATGCTGCTTCGAGCCTCTTCTTTCCTTACACCATTCACAGTATTATGGTTCTGGGAGCACAACCTTTTGACACTCTCAGTCTAAAGTAGTGAGGGTGTTGATTAATAGAGAGGCAGCAGAACATGTCCTAATCCACTCTTAACGTCACAAATGACCATGCCTTCATGCACAGTGCCAATTCAGGACCAAGGACAGGACCCAGTGGATGCTTCTCACTTTTTCATGCTGCCACCCCCATGCTTGTGTGTGATTTCGTCATCCCAGGTCCCTCGTCTCTCCATTATACCCTTGCCTTACCATTATTTCTTTGTATCTGCAACACTCTCAACTGGGATTAATCCAACTAGTGCCCCTTCTCTTTCTAGACATGACATGCTAAGTACTATGGAAGAAGATTGATAAATACAATTTCGGTCTTGTCTCAGCACCATTAAGCAGTCCTAAAATGTCCCTTGTCATTTTCTACCCCAGATCCCACAATGGATATTTTAAACCTGCATCGTTCTAGCCATTCTCACCCTCCTCTTCCCTTTCAGTCTCAGTATGTGACTCAACTTGCTTCCATGAAAAACTGAAGTTATGAGAAAGAATTTCTTTTAACTTTTTTTGATGCTCCTTATGTTTTGTCTACCCTCAAAGGAAAAGAAATCCCTCCTCCTTTTACACCCGAATTTTCTTCCTCAGGTCCTCTAGGATCAGACTTTGTTCCATGGATATTCTTCCCCTTCTTCTGGTCTCTGTGGTTCCTGTCTAACATATTCAGTGTTTCCTGACAACTGTGGGGTTCCGTTGCAGGCACATTAGTACTTATTTAAAAATTCAGACTTGGGGACCCTATTCCAGGCATACTGAATCAAAGTTCTTGGTTTAGGGCCCTTGGATCTATACTTTCAATGAGTTCTTCATTTGGGAAGTGCCATTAAAAGTTCTGTCTTGTTTTTGCTACTTCTAAACCATCTTCCATCTTAAAGTCAGAAAGCTATCTCCAAAATGTGACTGTGTTTAAATCATTGCATATTAAAAGCCCCTCAAGATTTTTGAGTTTTTATAAGGTTAAGGCAGGATATACACTAGCATATCAAAATAGACAGTTTGAAGAACTGAGAGTATTTACAAGGATATGGCAGTATCTGGGAAAAAGGGAGGGCCAGAGTAATGTCCAGGGCTGGCAGCAGGATGCCTGAAGGTAAAAACAAGGAGGGATTTCTTATCCAGAGAGACAGCGCTGCCTGACCAAACCTGTAATTAGTAGAGAGTCAACCAACCTGCAGGAAAGAGCGGAGGAAATAATACTCCACTTCCCCTTGCTTCCTCCCTCCAAATCCATGTTAGTGCTCCCTGTTGGGCGAGGGCAAGGCAGCAGTGGCAGTCTCTATTGGCCAGCCTTCATGGAACAGGACAGGAGGAGAAGGAGGGGAGTGGTTCTGGGAGGACGGAGGATGTGCAAACAGAAGTTACTCATCATGGTTTCTAACTAGTACTCCTGAGATAGGGCCATACTCTCATGCTGGTCCTGATGTTTCTCTCTGTCAGGCTTCCTCCTCCTGCCTGGAACCCTCCCCTGTGCTATTCTTTGGCTGTTCTTTAGTTGTGTTTCATACCTTTGCTTACATAGCCTCATTGTTTGGAACACTCACTCTGCTCTTGGGCACCTAAAAACTGCCAAACTTTCTGTAAAACCAAACCCAGGTGCTATAGTTTAGGTATGAAATGTCCTCCATAGGGCCATGTATTCAAAGCTTGGTCCCCGCTGATGCTGTTGGTAGGTAGTGGAGCCTTTGATAGGTGGGACCTTGTGAGTGGTATTAGGTCAGTCATTGGGGGTATGCCCCAACGTTTGTCCTTGTTCCCTGGCATGCTATGTGAGTGGTTTTGCTGTACCATGAATTTCTGTCTTGATGTCCTGCCTTGCCTCAGGCCAACTGATCACAGACTAGAACCTCCAAATGTATGAGCAATATGAACCTTGTCTCTGTAAATTAATTGCCTCATAAATTAATAAATTAATCGTGTTTTGTTATGGTGATAGAAAGATATCTAACACACCAAGTGACACCATCCCAGAGAAGACTTTTTCAGCCTACTCACCAAGTTGAACTGGCCACCACTTCCTTTGTGCTTTTATCGTAGCCCACACATAGGTTTTATTTATCTTTTTTTCCCTCTATCTCCTAGCCCTGCCCAAGTGCTTAACACACAGGTTGGCTGAGGAGATATTTAATAGATAATAAAGGAAGAGTGAATGAAAAGGTCTTAGAAACATCCACTCTTTACAGTTGAGAAAGTTGCAGCTCAGAGAAGCTAAATCACATCACTAAGTCATACCGTATGCTATATTTCAATATGGGTTTAACTGACTGCATTTCTCTACAATATCAGGCTGCTTTCTAGAGAAATACAAAACTTTAATGCTGTACAGATGTCCCCAAACAAAAATATAACAACACACAGAGCCCATTTTGCCCCGGCCCGCGGGGTCAGTAATTGGCAGAGCTCGAGAAGGGGAAGTACCTGGAAATGAGACAAGAGGGGCGCGGAAAGAAGGAGACCAAGCAAAGAGTTGTCAAGGTCTCATTTATTTGCAGATACAGGCAGTTTATAAAGGCAAAAACCGCAAAATTGTAAGAGGAAATAGTTAACCATAAACTTTGGGAGGAGAATGTAACAATAGTATAACACAATGTTACTATGTAACGGATCAGGTCACTTGTCTGCGCAAACCCGTTGTCATGGGTAACGACACAACTGTGGTGGTGGGGTGATCAGCGGGTCAACATGGAGGCTGTTTGGTTTTTACTTAGGACAGGCTAGCAGCTTAGTCTACCACATCTCCCCCTTCTCTATTATAAAAATTGAGGAAGAGATATATATCATGCAAGTCAATGAGGGGAGGCCATGTAGAGGGGTGTCAGAGAGGCAGGTTGTAGAGGAAAAGATGGCCTTGACATCTCGACAGAAGCCCCTGTCTTAGGTTGATCAGTCAGGCGTTGACTGTCTTACCCATCATTGGGGTCAACTGTAGCAAGAGAGGAGAAGTTTCTAGAAAAGTTCAGGGACATTCCAAGGCTCTCCAGTAACTGTGACTGTAAGGACTTGGCAATATTCTCTTTTTGAACCTCTCAGACGTCAGGCTTATCCTCTAGTCTCCATAGACATTCGGATTTGCAAGTAATTTTCCTCCTGATCGGCCAGATCAAGACGATGGTAATGGATTTGAATGGCTTTGGCTTGCATGGTATCTATCTGTTGTTTAATAAAGGCCGTAAGCCTCTTAACTATTAGAGGCCCGATGGTTAATAATATCAGGAGCCCTAATAGGGGCCCCAATAAAGGGAGGAGATAAGGTAGAAACCCATTGAGCCCAGTCCAGAGGGGGTTTTCGCATAATTCCCTTCTGCGTTTTTCTACATCTTCCTGTAAGGTTTTGATCTCATCCCTAACAATGCCAGACTTATTTGCATAAAAACAGCATTGTTCTTGGAGGGCAAGACAGATTTCTCCTTGTTCGGCAGTGAGCATATCTAAACCTCTTCTATTTTGAAGGACAACCTCTGCAAGGGAATCAATTTGATCTTGCAGATATTGCGTAGTATCAGACAAGGTTTGAACACCATCAATCAATTATTGAGACAATTTGGCATATTTGTGCAAGGAGACACCTAGGCCGGCGGTCCCAGTGCCAATGGCCGTAGAAATTCCTAGACCAATCATTAAGGGAATGAGCTGTACAGCCCGTTTGGGTCTTCCAGCTATAAAATCAAAGGTGGGAATTGGGACAGGGGTATCTCCTGAGATAATATTAATATTAGGTAAAACAGTAGCGCTTAAACATGTACCTGTCCAGTTTTGAGGTAAAAAGGAATATGCATAAGAATTTCCACAAACAAATACAAAGGAGTTTCCGGAACATAGGGCTGTGCGATCAACAATATTTTGACAATAACAATACTTAACAAAGGTAATAAATCCCACATCTATATCAAAACTATCATTTAAGGGCATACTATAAATACATTGGGGGGTAAAATTGTAAGGAAGAGGGGATTCCAAAACTATTAGAATAGGGGAAAAAATAGAGCAATTAGCTATATCAAAATCAAAACTAATATGAGGCAGGGGGATTGCCAAGGGAATGAATGGGCCCTGTTTAAGGCAGAGCCAACAATCCTGAACTAATGAGGGGTTGGTGATATTTAGAAGCTGGTGGGTCTGAATGAAAATATCAAGGGTGGCCCCATCCAATGCATCCTTTGTACCGGAATGAATATTGGCTAACGGATGATATCTAAGAGAAGGGACTTGTGCCTCAATGATTTGATCAATACGAGCTTTAACATATTTTCGTTTGGCCTGATCTTGGGGGCCATCCCCATCTGTGATGTAAACAGAGGGAGAGCGACGCCAATAAACTTTTTGTCCAACCTCTCCAGAACATCCGGCGGTCATGAGCTTATTGGTTGATCCAAGGACTTGGGGGTTATTAGACCAATCAATCGCCTCCAAGGCTAGCTGACTGCTCTTTGAGGAGGGTGGCAGTATACTATATTTTATCCCCTTGGGAGCATTCTTGGTATTGTTGATAACAGGAGGAATGCATGGATTCTTTAAAAGTGTGGCAAGGACATGGGGGGAGTCCGCCATCTGGGGATGGAGGGAGGGGTTTAGGTTTAGGGATGCATTTCCATTTAGATCCAGACTGATATAGAAGATAAGCCATTTTATCCCCACAATCCTGAGACTGATATATCCCAGTGGGGCGAGTATAACTCGAGAAAGTGCCTCCAAGGCATTGGTAGGGACTTCCTTGTTGTTGCTGAAGATGAAGCAGAGCTTTGCTGGGATTGCCAAAGCCTCCATATGAAGTTTTGATGAAGACCAGGGGAAGCAAGGATCGGAAATTCACACTTGAGGGCATTTTGGCCTTGGAAACCTAGAAAGGAAAAGGAGAGGGTCTCAGGGATGTAGGTCACCTGGACAAAAAGGTTAATTATCAAAAGAATCCATCTGTCTGAGAAATCTTTCAGGAAACCATCTGGCAGCCTTATTTGATGTATCATAGACACAGGCATGACCGTGGCCCCAAATGAGGACCGGACCTGGGCCATTCCAGGCGGCCGTAAGTGGATCCTTCCACATGACTTTAGCATATTGTTTGCTAGCCTGGGGATGCCAAAGGCGGTCAGCAGTTGATTTCCCATTGACATCCAAGGTGAGGAAATTAAGGACAAATAAGGCATGATGTAAAACATTTTTGGGGGAGCTGACAGAGGGATAAAGTGAGGTTGCTTTTAACTTATATAAGGTATTCTTGATGGACTGATGGGCTCTTTCAACAATACCTTGGCCTTGTGGATTATAAGGAATACCTGTGATGTGTAATATCTGTAATTGTTTACAAAAGTCTTGAAAATTTTTCCCAGTACATCCAGGGCCATTATCTGTCTTAATTGTAGAGGGCTTGCCCAGAATGGAGAGGCAGGCTAGGACATGAGATATAACATTTTTGGATGCTTCTCCTGCCGGAAGAGTGGCATAAATAAATCCACTGAAGGCATCAATTGTAACATGCACATATTTGAGCTTTCCGAAAGAAGGGATACGAGTTCCATCCATTTGCCAAATTTCATGGGGAACTAGCCCTCAAGGGTTAACTCCTAAATGGGGAGAAGGTAATTGAGTGACACAGTTTTGGCATTTCTTAACAATTTGTCTAGTTTGTTCTCGAGTAATTTTGAAAAGAAGGCGCAATGTATGGGCACTGAGATGATGAAGTGCATGGGCCTGTTGAGCTTGATTAATAGGATCTGGGTTGATGGAAAGAAATATTTGGGTGGCTCTATCGGTAACATTATTCCCCATAGCCAAAGGTCCAGGGAGACCAGAATGTGCATGAATATGTCCAATAAAAAACCGATGATCTCTCTGATGAATTAATTTCTGTAATTCTGAAAAAAGAGGTGTGGCATTGGTGGTGGGCTTAATATAAGGAACAGTCTCTAATAAGGGAATAGAGGAGGCCAAATAGGAGCTATCAGTATAAAGATTAAAAGGATCATGGGAACATTTTTTGAAAACTTATAAAACAGCATAAAGTTCTACTAATTGTGCAGATTTATAAGGTGAATGAATCTTCCAAGTAACATTATCAATAGTGAAGGCTGCGATTCCATTGGAAGAGCCATCAGTGAATATTAGACTAGCATCATCAAGTGGGTGAGGGGAAGTCCTTCGGGAAAAAAATTCTGGATGGATTTTGAAAAATTGGAGTAGTCTATCGGCGGGGTAATGATTATCAAGGATACCAGAAAAAGCGACAAGGGAAATGGTTCATTCGTTATCATTTTGCATCAACCATGATATTTGGGCTGATGAATATGGGAGAATAATTGTATCGGGTTTCTTACCGAAGATTTTTAGACTTTGTTCTCTGGCCAATCGTAAAAGTGTGGCGACCCATGAAACATAGGGAGTGAGAATTTTCTGAGGGGAAGTGGGCAAATGGAGCCAAAGGAGTTGTCCTTTTTTTTTTTTTTTTTTTTTTTTTTTCAGAAAATAGTGTATTTTGAAGATAATCATCAGAAACATGTTATAAAATTATTTTGGTGGCTCCCATTAGTGAACAAAGATCAGAATAAATTCTCTGAGCAGCTGCTTCTTTATTCACCAACAGGAGTGTATCCAAACTTAAAGGTTATATTTAATTATCTTTCAAGTTTTTTATTTGATCCTATAAAGCCAGGTTGTAGAAATCAACAATCTATTTGTATTTGACGTCATTTTGATCAAGAACATACAAACATCTTTGAACATTTAAGACAGACAAACATATAAGACAATTTTAACGAGTGCACTCAGATGGTTTTGGCCAATTGAATTATAAAATCTTTTGTTATGACTTGTCAAAATTTTTGCAGGTCAAAATTAACAGAGATCTCTTGTAGAATTAGGGTTAAAGGAATGAATACTCTTCTTGACTATAAATGTAAACCTTTAATAACAAACTTGGAATCACCAAGCAAACATAAATAAATGATTTCTATATACCTTCTCTACATATTTAGGCCTTTTGGTCTGGTATGTATATATATATATATATTTACCTGTTTTTTAACAAGATGAATATATAAAAACCTTTCATGTCAAAAGAATAACTTTTATAGCTTTCCTAATGTTTTTCTGTCTCATTTATTATAAACCTTCTATAATAAATTTCATCTTAAAGAATCCTTTTTTTTTTTTTTTTTTTTTCTGATTGTTACACTTTAAATTTGACTGGCTGCCAATAGAACAGTATTAACCTTGAGTTTTTATCAACAAAGTACAGAAAAGAGCAAGTTAACCTTATAATCACAATTCAAGAATTTGCAATGCACAAGAAATGTTTAAAGCACACCAGTTAAACAATTCAAATTGAAACAAAGATATATTTATCAAATAATTACAATTTATAACTTGATTTCTCTTGTAAAATCTCTTTCACAGATAGTCATATAAGAGGTTAGTATATTTCCTCCCTGAGGCCCCTTCCAAAGACAAACTAGGGAGTAACCCAGGGGATCTCACCATTTAGACAGAGGATTTTTATCCATTCATTTTCTTTTCGTCCCATTACTGGTGAGCTGGCCTCCGCGTCCTAGAAAGGGAACCCAGGAAATCCTGGGGGGGCGCGCCTTTTCCCTTCCAAGGAGGCAGACAGTCGCTTGCTCCAGTGGGAGTCGGATCGACACAGGGAGCGAAGCTTTCCATGAGAGAATTTAACCCCGTCATCATCCTCTTGCTCAGGGAAAAAAAAAAAAACCAATTTTAAAGTTAATGAGAAAACAGTTCAACAGGGCATTTTTGGAGCTTGATCCTCCCATCTTATTCCTAGGAATGAATGTAAGGTTAACACTCAACAGACAGGACACAGACAAGACACATAGGCGCCACAAAAGAAAAAGAACTTAGATTCTACCCAGAAATCCTTGTCAGGGAATCATTAAAACAATATTTGACTTTGTTCCAACATTTTTAATTTAATTAGATCCTTTTTCTTAACCCGAACTCCCCGCGCCCTGAGGGCGGACTTTAAGTCCTGAACAGAAACTACATACTAACCTGTTGTCCCATGGTTGGTGCTGCTCACTTACCTCGCAGGTCGCTTTCTCAGATGGGTGGGTCTGAGCGGACTTGCTATGCACAGTCACTTTCTCAGACGGGTGGGTCTGAGCGGACTGCTTATGCACAGTCACTTTCTCAGACGGGTGGGTCTGAGCGGACTGCTTATGAGTCGATCGGCCGATCTTCCGAGCAGCATCCACCAGGTGAAGACCCCGTGTCTCGAGCCCCACGTTCGGGCGCCACTTGCCCCGGCCCGCGGGGTCAGTAATTGGCAGAGCTCGAGAAGGGGAAGTACCTGGAAATGAGACAAGAGGGGCGCGGAAAGAAGGAGACCAAGCAAAGAGTTGTCAAGGTCTCATTTATTTGCAGATACAGGCAGTTTATAAAGGCAAAAACCGCAAAATTGTAAGAGGAAATAGTTAACCATAAACTTTGAGAGGAGAATGTAACAATAGTATAACACAATGTTACTATGTAACGGATCAGGTCACTTGTCTGCGCAAACCCGTTGTCATGGGTAACGACACAACTGTGGTGGTGGGGTGATCAGCGGGTCAACATGGAGGCTGTTTGGTTTTTACTTAGGACAGGCTAGCAGCTTAGTCTACCACACCATTTTAAGGAAGTGGTATAACTTACATAACTAGAGATTGAATGACATTTTTGATCAGGATCCAAAGCAGAAACTCCACTGAGAATGATAAGAAAAAGCTAAAGAATAGAGATGGGGAGAAATTTCTAGGTCTAGACTCCTGTTAATATCCAAAGAGTAGCGATTTAGGAATCACAGTTCTGGAAGCAGACACCAAGCATATGCAGTGAAATATTTCGGCAGAATCTCACCTAATTCTCCCTCTTTGTGAAGCCATGACTTGAACAAGAAGACTGATGGAGGCCATGGTTTAAGGAGTGTGCCTTCCCAGTTATGGAGTGGGGCCTAACCAAGAGCTCTCTGGGGTTGTAGCTCATTAGGGGTGCTAAAATATTACTAGAATATATTGGAAATAAAGTACCAGGTAAGTGTTTTATGGGCAACTCCTGAAATGACTGAGAAAACAGGAATTTGTCGCTTCTCATGGAAGTCTCTTTCCTTCAAGTAAAAACTGTTCAAGGCAGGCTCACCAGTGCTGGCCAGTCTCAGAGGAGGGAGAAGTATGCAACCGAAGGCATTAGACAACCAGCAAATGGTCCACTATCACTGTTAGGTACTGTCAACCAGTTGTGAAATGATAATGAATTTTCTTCTTATCTAAATTTTGAACAATTAAGATGCCTAGTTCAGAAAAACTATGTAATCAATCAATCACAAAGCCCTTACTTTTAAACATTGTGCTAGTTGGTAATTTTCTTAACAGAGGATCAGTTTTCATCCTCACCCCAACAAATACATGTTAGTGACTCTATTAAGAACATCAGTATAAGGGATACTCTAGGGCCTGATATTCTTCTTTCTGAACCCAAACCCTCTTCTACTGAATTCACCCCGTGGAGGAAGAGGTAGGCTTCCCTTTCCTTTCCAAGACATTGGTCTTCCCATGCCGCACATGTAGTGTTTTGTTCTTGTCCCTGAAATCTCTTAGCTGGCCCTTTCTTTCCCATCCCTTTATTATTTTGTCCATCTAAGGTCTAACTGGCCAGTTACTAGGTCATTTTCTTCCTAAGCATTTTCAACAGGTTGCTTCTTGACATGGAAAAACACTATTTTCAGCAAAATTCACAGGCTTTTCTACAATCCAATTTCTTTACCACTGAGCACTTTTGACCATTCCTACCATGCATGTTAATTGGGGAAATTTCCACCCTGGTCCTCAGACAGAATATCTGAGCTCATCGTTGCTTCTATGCCTTCATGTCCTGTTTCCCTAGTTCTGGGCCTCCCTCTACATTCAGGTTCAACTCCCTATTCTTGTTTTTCTCCTTATTGGTCAAGAGCAATCCTTTCCACTTGAAGATAACCTAGTATGTGCTGTGTGCCACTCACTGTTAGACATTTTATACCTATTACCTTAATCTTGGAGACAAATCTGGGAGGAGAAATTACTGTCCGGATTTCATAGACGGTCCCAGTGAAATTCAGAGAAGCTAAGTGGTTTGCCAAAATAAGATGACTAGTAAGTGCTGGAGCTGAGCCGTGGTCTGGAAGGTACTGTCAGTTCTGTGAAACTAACTCCATGTGCCAGGACTCAGTGTCCAACCTGAGTATGTCCTGTGCACAGACCTGCAGGACTGACAGGTGTTGGGCTGGCATCCTGCTTCTCTGATCCTCTCACACCCTGAGGCCACTAGAGCCTGGGATATGGCCAGTGATGCCACCTTGAAACTGGCTTATGGCTCTCCCTCCTTCTTCCTCCTTTGGAGTAAGGAGTTCGTTGCCTAGGTTCTTCTTTGTGACTTTTTGCTCTTCCCCTACCCCCACCTGCCTGCTCACCTGGGCTGTCCTTCTCACCCATGCCTGGTCATGTAAGAAAGCCTTCCTCTTTCTTTGCCTCCTCATTTCTCCCTTCTCCTCTCTCTGTTATCATGTATTTGGTTCTCTTCCCTCTCCATTATATTAACTCTTGTTTTTCCATTTTTGTCCTCTATTTTCACCCATTTAATTCCATTGAGAAGCTCAGAGCAAAAAACAAAAACCTGAGATGGTGTCTGCACAACAGAGCTGTGTTCCAGGCCTCTATTCAGGAGATTAGGAGTCATTCTGCCCAGGATTTGCTCCCAGCTCTACCACTTTATTATTTGGACAAATGGTTAAAACTCTCTTCCTCAATTTGCTCACCTGTAAAATGTGTATGAAGCCAAAATACAATGGGGTTTAATGTTTGGCTGTTATATCAGATAGGGTTCACTAAAGGAATAGCATGAAGATATATATGATTTACAAGGTATACTTAGAGAGGTTGCCTGAAGAGTCAGGGGTGAAAGAATGCAAAAGGGCTATCTGCATGCTGCAGAGCAGAGTATCATCGAGTCGAAGGTCTGGAGCTCACTGCAGAGTCCCCTGGGAGTGTGTATCAGGATGCTGAAAAATCTGTGTTGGAAGATTGAGGAGTTCATGCCAGAAGGCTGAGTCTGCCCTGGAACGCTGAGGCGTCACACTGGAAGCCTGGAGATGGACGTCCAAAGATGATGGTGAAGACTGGAGCTCCTCGGAAGACACAAAAACAGAGACTTCTTTCTTTTTTCCTTTTTTATTCCTTTCAGGCTACAAGCCTATTGTTTGGTGCCACCCACACTCAGGGAGGGTCTTTTCAGTGAGTGAGTCATCCAGACACACCCAGAATTATGCCAAACTAATCTGTTAGCATCTCTTATTCATGTTGACACCACAGTTAACTATCACAGCTATTATTGTGTGACTTTGTATTTAAGATGTTTGTAGATGGCCCATAATATCTACATCTTACCTTCCCTTTTTTATCACTTTACTCAAATAGTAGTGATTTTAGTTACAGTTTTGGTTATGTGCTTGGCTCTCCTCAGTATTTGAGGTGTTTTTTTTTTAACCTCTATAGACCTAAGCTTACAAACAGCTAATTTCTGCCATGTTTTCATTTATTTCTTTATTCTTTTACCAAACAACCCAGTTTTTTTTCTCTAGCAGCAAGTGACATTTGTGCTATTTTCATTATGTTGTGTTCTTGTAATTGCAATAAGAGTTTACTATTCTTGTTTCTTATGTAATGACAGAGTTAAGCGAATGTGACCTGATATCATCTTGTAGCCCCCCTCTCTGAACTCTTTCCAGAAGTATACACTCCCCCACTCCCAAAGCTCTGGGGAGCAGCATGGGCACACCTGAAGATCCTGTGCTGTCGGAGGAGAGGTCTGGCATCACCTTCCCTCATTAATAACTGGGACTCCTCTTCTGGTACGTCCAGCTTCAGAGCTTCTTCCAGGAGTCCCCCTGCAAATCCACTCCCTGCTCCAGTGAGCACCCAGAAATCTTGCTTCTTTCTTCATTATCTTTTTGTCCAGTTTATCAAGTTTCTTTCCCAATGAGTTCATTATAATTTATCTTTAAATGAAACTTCTGGCAAATCATTTTTTCCATGTCATTATTTAAGTTTTTGTAGACTAGCTTAGGACACTAACCAGTATTTATATTACCTTTCCTATGGGCAAACATATTTGAATTCCAAATAACTGAACTTACGAATTTCTAAGTGATAAGTCTGAAGTCATATGGAGCTTAATGAGGATTAGAACTTGTCAGAAATGGCTTCATGAAAATTTAAGTCTTGAGTTAGATCTTGAAGGATAGATAGGAGGAGGTCAGAAAGGGTAATATTTCCATGGAGGAGTGAATACACAGAAGCAGAATTAATAGAGCACAGCGAAGAGGAGTAGCAAGGAGAAACATATTTGGAGAGTTTTTATTACTCAATAAATAGGAGCCAACTGATTAATCTCTCTTGTTTCCCCTTTCCTCCTGCTTTAATGCTTCAAATCAGCAGTGGCAACACTGGGCATATCTGTTACTCTTATCTGTAATAGCCATGGCAGATATTAATAATCAACTTTTGGGTTTTTGTCATTGTTTGTGTTTTTGTGTGGTGCCAGGAATTAAACCCTGGGTCTTGTACATGTTAGGCAAGTGCTCCACCATTAAACTACATCTCTAGCCAGATGCTTTTGCTTTTGATGAGTCCACATAAGTCCTGGAAGTCCTTATAATGCAGCATTCCAATCAATTCTACCAGTTGATCACAGTTGAGTGCAATATGAAATGAAATTACTGTTTATATCCTGGATTTAGCCACCTGGTCTTTTTTGTCTTTCAGTGGTACTGCTTTATGAGGCACTTTATTAAGTAAGAAATATAAATAATCATTTATACCAGTGCTGATATAATTGTTCAGCTACATTGTAATACTACCTTGCTAGGATATACATTTCATAGTGAGACTCCAAAGCCCTTTCAACTTATGTTTAGATACATGTACTTTAGAAAGGAAGATGACATACATTTATTTATGTTAATTGCTTTATTGCTCCAGATCCCAGTTTTGCATTGATCCAGTTTGCAGAGCTTGGAATTAATTTTCTTTTCTTTTCTTTTTTTTTTTTTTTTTTTTTTTTTTTTTGGTACTGGGGATTGAACTTGGGTCCTTGAGCATGCAAGGCAGGCCAGGGAACTGAACTAAATCCCCAGCCCTTGGAATTAATTTTCTAAAGAACAAGTTTTAGAATACTAAATAAGGCAAGTATATTAAAAATCTCTTGTAAAATAGACAGTTTACTTCTTTTTTTTTTCAGCTTTAATTGAGTTTATTGGTACATTTTAGGGATACAGTACAGTTACATTCATTGTTGGGCTCTTGTACCTCTACAT